CTCGAGCACCGCAACGAGAGGTCGGTGGGGGGGGGGGGGGGGGGGGGGCGGGGGGGGGGGGGGGGGGAGAGAGACGCAAGTCTGCTGAAAAGTGGGTCTAAAGTCTGTCAGGGTACAGAACTTAATAAGTCAGAGGTTGTCAACCAGGGGTACGTGTAACCCCGGGGGTACTTGAGAAGGCACGGCAGGCAAGGACAGAGGGCCACCATGCACCATCCCATGCAGGGGCTGTCCACCTGGACAGACACAGGCAGCAGGGAATGCTTGCATGCTGCAGCTGCCACCACTCAGCATTTGGCTGCATGCCACCCTGTGTCCCCCACCCCCCAACAATACACTGCTCCAAAAAAACTGAAAACCCCTGTAATAAGCGATAGATACAACATGAATTATCATCAACAGTGGGGCTTTTATACTAACTGCTTCATTCTTTTCCACATAACTGTGTGTGCCAGTGCAGTACAATAACTACAGGGGAGTTTTGCTTTGATTAAGAAAACTTTCCAATTACTCCAAAACAAATCGTTACTCCACTGAACTTCCATCAAAGTTTCCAAAAAGAAAAATTTCAATTAAATGTACAACAGTCACTGAGCATATTCTTCCAAGATCCCAACTATCTAGGTGTCTAGTCCTAAAATATACAAAATGTAAACAAATAGCATCTTAATTAAAAAAGGGAATTTTTTTGGAATTGAATGTAAATGTTCCTCAAATTCATGACCCTAACCTTCAGGCTACCAAATACATCCCTGACCCTAACCTTCACATTTTCTTCTCATCCTTGTAAACCTATTCAGCATTTTTGTGGAGTTTCTTGTACTTAGAAATGACATTTATAGGATCCTGACCCAACTGTTGTCACAAAGATTGTATGAGATTAGAGCAATGACCATATGTATTCTTGCTAGCATACAGTAAACCAAGCAGTAAAAGAATACAATATCAAACCTTGAAACAAAAACTAATGGAGGAAAGAAACTGAAATACTGGATTTTAAAATAAGGGATGGAAGCTTACCGTTTGATCTCAGGAACACTGTGATTGATTGGAGAGGAGGAATTCATGACTACTACTTTCCAGCCTTCTAATCTATGTTCTCGGGATAATGAATAGTCTTTGATTGTAAAATTATTTTACAGGAATCAAGAAATTTCAAAAGAAGATTCTTCCCCACATCATATCCTATACAAAATATATAAAGGAAATATTCAGTTTATTTCTCACCACAATAGCCAGTTATTAAATGAAAGGGTCAATTACATTAAAACTTACTATGTTTCTATATCTCATGGGATCAACATTTAACGACTACACCCTCTAATAAGCATTTGTAAAACCTCTCTAAACCTGAAGCCCAGAGCCAAAATTTTTATAAAGACAACTCTGGCTTCTAAATTTGCCAACAAAAGTTATATAGGAAGAGGATGTAAAACACAAAACACCCCCTTTCGGGGGGGGGGGGGGGGGACTGTCTGCCATTTCTCTGTTGCAGCAATCAGTTTTTGTTTTTTGAAAGAAGACACACGCAATACATCTAATGGTCCTCAGGGTAGAACAGTTTCAAGTGGATCCACATTCAGCCTTCACTGTGCAGCACAGCAAATCTCCTGCTAGGAAATGCAAGAATACTTCTACTGGTGGCAGTGTATAAGAAAACATTAAACATTGTCTTGGGAGACAGAAAAGCAGCAAAAATTGGAAGTTTAACTTCAGACACACTGGGCACAGAAATCCACTTTTATCCCCTAATACAGGACTGTTCAACTGCATGCAGCTTGCAAGGGGTTAACCTGTGAACCACAGGCTGAAGACTACCCCCCACTCCCTGGTGCCACTGGGAAGCTGGTCAGATCTCTGGGCTCCCTCCCCATCTCCATCTTCCACTTCCTGCCTCCCTTGCTGGGGCCTGAGCAGAGCTGCTCTAGCAGAGGCCACATTAGGATGATGAAATGACACGGTGAATCCACATACCGTATTTACAGGATTAAAGGAACCACACCACCAGTATGAAAAGACTTATTTCAAGTGGAGGAATAAACTAATTAACGTGTCGCTATGGCAGATGGGCAAACCAGTGTGCAGGAAGATGATCGACCATGATTACACTCAGCTGGAGCTTACCCTTGCTTTAAACACTGCTTTATGGATTTCATAACTAGGGACCTACTCACAGCATGATCTGAGGCAGTTCCTGCCAAAAACTGACTGGAAATAAAATGCTGGCTCCCCAGTGGGAGCCTGCAGCTCTCACAGCTGCTGCCACACAGAAAGGGAGCCAACATGGCACCTCCCCCTTCTTCCTTTCACCGCTGATTAAGCATTATTCAGCCCTACCCTTCTCAGCCAATCAGCGGCGTGGTTAGGCCTCACCATGAGAAACCATGAAAATGGTGGCGGACACTGCAATCCACTCCAGTGTTGCCAGGTGTATAATAATTATCACATTTGTACGATAGATAATACTAAAAGTCCTCAAAATCTATGATTTTTTTTGGTGTCATTTGACCCAGTTCTCACTCGCATTGAATTGGAATTTGACAGGGACTCAAGTGAGGGTGAATAATATTTGCCACTTATCTTTAACTGGAGACTGACAGTGAGCAATATAACGTAACTGCATAATGATCACATAACCAAATCTCAATGTGTAATAATACTAAGAGCTTTATTTTAAATGCTATATATGGTCTTAAATCAACAGAAAAGTCAAAGAGGGTTTGCACCTGTGTCCTGGGACCCGCGGAAGCCAGGAAAACTTACCGGGAGAGCAGGACGCCGCGAGGGAGGGAGAGCCCGCGCGGCTCGTTAGCCATGTCTATGTACAGCTGCAGCCGGCAGCTGATGGTGACGTCAGACGGGAGATTTAAAAATGGTGGCCGCTGCAACGGAGGGAGAGAGGAACAAACGGTGGGCAAAGCAGTCCCTGCCGTTAGCCCAGCTGGACAGGAGCTGCCGAGCCGAAGAGCTGGAGTGTCCGATGGCCGGGAGAAGAGGCGGGATAGCTGGATCCCCAGCAGAGAGAGCCTGCGGCGCCAGAACAGGGGAACAACAGGGGATTAAGATCACCCAGGAAGATCCCGAACTGCATGAAGTAAGTGCCGTGGCAGGGGGCGCAGGAAGTGCCGAAGAGGAGGGCGAGGCCAAAGACGCACCAGGCTGGAGAGAAAGTTCAGGGCGGGATCGCCGCCTAGAATAGAAGGCGTCGATTGAGAAATAAAGGGGACAGCACTGTATACCCATCCAGGAGACATCACTCCTGGGCAATATCATAGGAGCGCGGGTGGTAGGTCAGGGAGGTACGCCTTGTAGAGGGATCACTGTGAGGAAGCACGCAGCTGAGGGTTCAGGTGACGAGTCGGTGCTGGGAAGTATCCCTTGCAATAGGGCTGGGATATCTACGCAGGTGAGGGAGGAGTCTGTCGGCACATCGCTGAGTTGGTGCAGGGAAGTGGAGACCACAGGTGGCGTGAGGCCCGGGTGTAGGGGTGGCCGGAGCCCCGTGTGTAACCGACGAGGCCAACCCGGGACACCGAGGGACCGGTGAACTGGCCCTGCCCCACTGGGATAACAGCAAAGTCGTGGCAGGTGAGAAGCGGGGTTGGTGAAGCGGGGAAGACAACCAAACTGCAGTAACACCAATGCTCGGTGCAGAGGGTGGTCACCCAAACGGGGAGCTACACTACTAGTAGGGATCTACGAAGGCCCGTTGGGGACAACCCGCCTTGCTTGTAAATTTCAGGCACATACCTAATACAGCAAGTTGCAAAATACAGATTTACAATACACAGATCTGCACCACAAAACAAAAATAAAAGAATAAATTCAGTTTAACCAGTCAGAGAAAGAGTTAAACAAAACTTCATAGTGAGCAGTGTCAAGTAGAGTGGCACAGGATGTGATGATAACAGTATAAGGCAACATGATGTTACTTAAAAAAGACTACATTTGCATACTTTTTTCCCAGAGTATGATAGTTTTTCAGAAAATATGATAATTCAAGCTTCCAATATGAAAATTTCATATTTGACCTGGCAACATTGATCACCTTGCAAAATTGCCCACCTGCCTCATGATAGGTCCCTATTCATAACTAGGACCCAGTGTGCAGGCCATCTTTATCACCACAGTGTTTGCCACACCCAATTTCTGCCCAACCTAATGCAGAAATATTTGGTTCTAATGATGTTAGGCCATCCCTTCTTAATAAACTACTGCAGAAGCTACTTTAAGAAAAAAACTTTTTGCCCATTTTCTCGCTTACATGTCTAATAGAACGGTCCGCTCTAACTTAAGTCTCTAGGAAACAGACTCTACTAGGGGTGTACCAATAGAGATTTTTTGGGCCAATAGAGATAGCTGATTTTTAAGGAGGCATATCGCAAGACGCAGCCCAGTAGCTTGAAGAGCTGGATGGTAAGCCT